GATGGGTGTGTTAGACTCAGTGAGATTGGCACAGGATAGAGCAGGGTTTAGGGCTGTTGTACATAGGGTCGCTATGAGTCACAAGAAACTCGACAGCACATAACAACAACAACAACCTGCCCCTGTATTACTACTACCTGATCAAGCACAGTGACTTTCCCTCCACAGTGGAGCATTAGACGTATCAGCGTCCAACAGTCTATCACCACCAGCGCCAAATATTTAATCTTCCTAAATTTCTAAGACCAAGCAAAATCTTATAAGGAAATGTACAAAGAGCTGGAGTCAGAAAATCAAAAGGGCCAAACTCACATAGTATTTCTTAAGCTGAAGGTATTGAAAAACAAATTCACGCCATGAACTGCAATACTAAAGGATACTTTGGATAGTATACTAAATGATCCAAGATGCATTACTAGAAGATGGAAGGAGTATACAGAGTCACTGTACCAGAAGGAATTGGCTGATACAGAAGGATTTCATGAAACTATGTAAGAGCAAGAGCCTGTGGTGGTAAAGGAACAAGTTCAAGCTGCTCTGAAAGCATTGGAAAAAAAATAGAATTGACAGCATACCAGTTGACATATTTCAACAAGCAGATGTTGCCCCAGAAGAGCTCACTAAGTTCTGCCAAGTAATCTGGAGGACAACCACCTGGCCAATGACTGGAAGAGATATGTATTTGTTTCCATTCCAAAATAAAGGTTATCAGACAATGTGCAGAAATTATCAAACAATATCATTACTATCACATGCAAGCAAGATTCTGCTGAAAATTATCCCAAATACGACCAGAGCAGCACACCAAGGGGGAACTGCCAAATGTGCAGACTGGGTTTAGGAGAGGCCGTGGTACTGGGGATGTTATAGCTAATGTGAGCTGGATCTTGCCTGACAGTAGAGAATAGCAGAAGAATTTGTATTGTGTTTCATTTACGATGCAAAGGCATTTGACTATGGGGATCACAACAAACTGTGGCTGACTTTGAGGAGAATGGGAATCCCAGAACATTTGGTGGTACCTATGTGAAACCTACACTTGGGCGTGGAGGCAGTTGTCAGAATGGAGCAAGGAGAAATGGCATGGTTCAAAATCGAGAAAGGATGTACTCCAGGGATATATACTGTGTCCACATCTTCAATTTATATGCAGAACAGATCATCTGGGAGGCTGGGCTGTATGAGGAGAATTATGGCATAAGGATTGGAGGAAGACTCATCAACAATCTGCATTATGCAGATAACACAACCCTGCTTGCTAAAATTGAGAAGGACCTAAAGTCCATGCTGCAGAAGACCAAGAACTGCAGCCATCAGTATGGATTGAAGCTCATCATCAAGAAAACAGAGATTCTCACCAACGGAGCCAATTCCTAGCATTGTGATAGACTGTGGAGAAACCAAGTTTATTAACAGCTTTAGTTTGCTTAGCTCCACAATGAACACTCTTGGTAAAAGCAGCCAGGAAATCAACAAATAAAATGCATTGGAATTCTACTGTCAGGGACATCTTGAGAGAACTGAAGAGTAATCATATCAGTCTTCAGACTAAGGTAAGCCTGATCCAGGCCATAGTCTTCGCAATTGCTTACAATACTTCAGAGAACTGGACAATCACTAGGGATGTTAGAAAGAGAATTGATGCATTTGGGCCGTGGTGCTGGAGAAGAGTGTTGAATATACCATGGACTATTAGGAGAACAAACATATTCATACTAGAGAGGGTGAAGCAAGCCTGCCCCTTGGAGGAAAGGATTCTGAGG